CCTAATGGACACGACGATGACGTGACACCGACAGCAGAACCAAAGAAGGCTTCTCTTTTAAGTTTTGGAGACGAAGATGGTCGGTGCCCACGATTTTGACGAAACTGGGTTTTAGGGAGGGCGAAATATTCGAAGTTGAAGAAGGACAAAGAAAAAAGCTGAAGGACGCTGGCGCATGGAAACGACTGGAAGAACAAATAGAGACGTCCAAAAGTAGAGATGTGAGGTTGGGTGGTGTATAATGGTGTCTGAACTACCCCTCTCAGGAAATAGACGAGGAACTGGAGTTCACACCGTCACTTCCCACGGGACTCCCCGTCAAAGAGGTTGGCTATAATTGTATTTTTTAACTTTTTTTAGGAGCCTGCACAGGACGAAAATCCGATTACTTGACGCGATATGCTCCGGAGGGGATTCACGCCCAGCGACCTCAACGATCGAAAATTCAGGAATATTTTCGATGAAGACGATGAATACACGTCAGAGAGGAAGCCCGATTGAAATTTCACCAGCGACTTTTAGTAAGCATTTAATGAGTATTTCTTTATGTATTATCTAGGTGGGATCCCTGACTCAAGGCGGTCTACGAGGCACCTTGGAAGAGGAGAGGGAAAAACTGAGGCACCACAGGCCATGACGGCTATATTCCCCTAGATGACGACCAAGGATTAGGTATTGAAAAGGGTGATAGAAAATGAAATTTAATCGTGTTCGGGCAAAGGGAATTCGAAATCGGCTAATTCATTGAGGATGAAAACGATGATTCTGATGAGGATACGGGAAAAGTAAGTTGTTAATCGAAAATATAAGTCTGACTGCTTAGGTTCTACTCATCCCGAGCAGATGCCCTCGAAGAGGATACAAAACGCCGCGAGCAACAAACGCGTTTCCTCGAACAAGAGTTATAGTATCTAGCGATTAGATTAAAACCGACATTAAGGAAGCCGAGCGGAAAGACAGCGATGAGGAGATGGAGAGATGGGAACAACAACAAATTCTGAAAGCCGTTGGCGCAGCAACGGTAGTATAATTTTTCAAATAAAATGTTGGTTTTGTTATAGATCGGTCAAGTGAAGCACGAGTACGAGCTGACCACCCAGTTCTTCCAACAGGTTCGTGAGAGGATGAGGAACGCTCGCGCCCAATTGAAATGGACATTGATATGGACGTCGATGATGTGCACCCCTCGCAAAGCATCCAGCCCGAACCGTCCGCCTCCCAAACATCAATGCAGGATATTATGGAAAAGCTCTCGCTACGGTAGGGCAGCGTTATCTCTCTTTACCAAATTTTAGCCTGCGCGACCGGGAAGAGCGCCTCAACAGCTTTGCGCAATAACGTCGAGAAAATTCAGTCAACTATCGCAGAGAACAAGGAAAGCCTTAGGGTAAGGGTTAGCAAAAATCGCTATTAATGTTTTTATTAGGAAGTTGGAATTCGGTGATGGGGACAAGCAGAGCACCGCAAAGGAGCTGAGCAGAAGTACAAAATGTATCAAGATATGAGCTCCACGTGCGAGTCTCTTGGACTGTTTGGATGAGAAGGTAGTTGGTTGCAGCATTTGAAACCCGTGCTCTTCAGGCTCCGGAGATCAATGACCTAATTGCAAGCAGCGCGGGATTGAGAAAGCTCGGTTACAGCGTCTGATCGCCCGGTAATTTCTAGTTGTGATTTTACACGGTTTTTAGGCGAAGAAAAGACGTCGGTGACTCCTACGATGAATGCTCAGCAGCGGCGGCCTGGGAAGAATATAGCAACTATCAGAGTTGGGGAGCACGGGATGAGAGCCGCGGAAAGAGAAGGGCGCCGGTGAGGAATATTAACTAAAAACGGCTTATTTGCAAAATTTTAGTTTTTTACATAGTGGTTGGGTGAGTTTCCGAGAAATTGGGAATTTCGACATTGAGATTTCGATATCCTGATAACAAATGAAAAAAACGACATTTTATTGCAAATTTAGTGGCCGAAGAAGACGTGAACGGGAAGGGCAGCTGCAGGGGATTTCGCATGAAGACGGCCTCAGCACTGATGATGAAGAAACGACCTCAAGAATCGTGGCTGACAACGAGGGAAAAGCTGAATTAAATGCTGCCCTCCAAGTTGTCTTCGTCGACGCCCTCGATGAATACAGCAACATTTCAAAAGTTTTGGGTAAGCCGTCACCTCAACTTTTCATGTAAACTTCTTGCTTCAGATCGCATCATCGATTGGCTGGTCGTTGACGGAAAATCTTTCCAAGATGCCTATGTCCATCTGTGTATTCCGAAGTTGTTGTCTCCCTACATACGCCTGCAGCTGTGCCAAGCTGAAATTTTGAAGGTACGTTTCGTCCTATGCTTAACTTTGCCCTTTCCAGGACCCTAACTTCCGACTCGATGACCAAGCCTGGTACACGGACATTCTGACGGCGGGCGCCTCGTCCGAAATTGATCCGCAACATCCGGTAGTTGTCGGGCTGTTGCCAGCAATTGTTGAAAAGGTTGTTGTGCCATACCTCACAGGTTTGTCCCGTCCTATTTTTGCCGGCTTTTAGCATCTCGAATTGTGTGTTGCCTTGCGAGTCAATGCTGATACAATTTCTGTGTTTCAGAGCTTGTGGTCGATGAATGGGATCCGTTGTCTTTCCGGCAGACGCAGAATTTGACGACCTGCATCAATACCATCATCCGAGAATATCCCACGATAACTTCTAAGTGAGTGGCTGAATTTTTTTCCTGGTTTTATTTTACTTGGGGGCACTGGACTGTTAGCGGGGGGCAAATCACCAAATTTTTCCCACTGATCCTGACGACCCTACAAACACATTATAAATATTTTTATAGTATTGACTTTTAGTTATTTTTATCAAAAGTCAAGAAATATCGAAAATTTTTGACTTTTCGGTAAAAATGGCAGATAAACTTCATATTGTCGACTTTTCGAAAATCGCTAAATTTTATTATATCTTTTCATCAAAAATTAGGAAATACACGATAAAACTATATAGTGTCGATAAAAAGATTATTTTCCTCTTGGTATCCCCCGATAGCAGTCCAGTACCTACTTCGTCAGCCCAAAAGCTTCCGTAACGTTATCTAATCCGAATTTTCAGATCAAAGATGGTGAATCGACTAGCGAATGCCATACAAAAACGGGCCAAAGACTCCGTTTCCGAGGATATCTTCATACCGATGTACGCGAAGCAGTAAGTAGTTTCTGTCTAAATAAACAATCTGTTCTAGGGCCATCGAAAAATCGAGCACAGGCTGCCGCGCATTCCTCGATCGCCAATATTGGACGGCCGTCAAATTGTGGCGCTGCCTAGCCCTGTTCTCTGGCTTTTTCTCGCCCTTCTCGATGCATGACTTGGTTTTCGAAGGGGTAGCTGCTAGATGTTGCGGGCTTGCCCTTCAAGTCGGCGAAATCAGCGACCCAAGCGTCATTATAAAAGTAAGCATTTGCACGCCTCACCAAGTCTTCCATTTTTAGGTCAAAGCTCTGATCGCCGAGACGCGGAACGAATGGATGCCCTATATGAATGTTCAGAACATGCGCTCCCTTCTGGGTATTTTGAATGATATAGCCGACGCCTTTGAAAGCTCCAACAGGTTTGGCTGAAAACAATTTGTAATTATCTTCTTTAGGGATTTCGCAAAGCAAGTGCGCCGCTATGTGGAACGATTGAAAACTGCCGAATAAATATCTCTCTTACCCGGTTTTTACCTCTTATTGATCGTGATTTATAAATCGTTATACTTTTATCCTTTTTGGGTTTTTTTTGGAGAAAGCGTCTTGTCCGCTGCTATTTTCCGAACAATTGGATCCATTTTATGTATACTCTCTTTTAGATGAATTCTCGTAAACAAGTAGCTTTGGTGATTGAACGATATGAGCGGATAGCTCGAGATGAGGTGATTATTTTATTGGTCTTCAATATCTCCGGCTTTTTTTAGATTAATTCCCTGAAGCGACTACATGTGCAAATCGTTGAGGGCAATAATAGAAAAGAAAATACGCATGCGCTACAAGCACAGGTACGGATAGCATTTTTGTATTTTAAAGCCAGCTGCCAAAAGTCCGTTGCTTCATTGTAATTTTAGGCAAAACGTGTCGAAGATCAACTACTAAAAGGCCTGGCCCAAGTTATGTCGACCAGGGCTGAACTGGAACCAGAATCCTGCGAAGAGTTTGACTTGAAGATTGAGCCCGTACGATTGCTGATACAAAGTAGGTTTTTGGGGAATTTTCTAAACCTAATTTAGCGACAATTAATGCCATTCAAAAAGTGCGCGCATCTACTCCCAGCGTTTCAACCAACCCATTTGATCTAGGCGAAGAGGTGAGAATGATTTTCTGTTGTCGACTTTTTCCAGCACAGCAGATCCTTTTTTGAAGGAATTTTTGAAGAGCAGGTTTGACTCCTTGGGAATATCGGGGTTTTTTTCGGGAATTCCTTTGGTTTTATCTTTAAAGATCGCCTTACAAATCAAGATTTCAGGACGAGCCGAACATTTATGCGGAAGAAGCCCGCCTTCAAATGGAGAAGACTATGAACAAAAATTCTGAATTAAAGTGGGACTTAATGCGAACTCTCATGGTTTTTTCTTAGGATGAAGGCCGAAGAAGCACGACTGATGGCCGAGGAGTCTGTGCGGTTGGAAGCGGATGTCCAGGATTTGAACGAAATCTTTACGCAACTCCAGACGATCGTACATGTTCGTTTATTCCAGTTTTCAGTGTATTTACCGTGATTTAGCAACAACACGATATGGTTGACTCGATCGAAGAACATGTCGAGCAAGCGCATTCTCAAGTCGAACGCGGTAATCAACAATTGAAGCAGGCTGTCAAGCATAAAAATGCCAAGGTAGTTTTTTTTGCGATTCTTGAAATTTTTGGTGATTTAGGTGCCGGTTGTGACTGCCGTTGTGGGAGGATTGGCTCTTGGTGGGCCGGTCGGCATCGCGGCCGGCTCGACAATTGCCGGCGTGGCAGCCGCCGTTGGAGGAGCATTCGCAGGTAAACATTAATTTTTATTTCTTACCTCGTTTTCAGGGCTTTACGGTGGTCGTTGGATGAAAAAGTCGAGTAATGAAAGTGCCAATGCCAACTGAACCCCCTTGCTTGACGCCTTTGCCTTTTATGTCGCATTCTCTGTCACCCTGCTCTCCGTTGTCTGTCGCATTCTCCCCAAATCTGTGATTATATGCTAGTCTTCATCAACCCGGGTTATACCTAACTGTTTTGCCATTCCGCTGCACATATTTCCTCCTCACGGCCGCCCTGTCCAAATTAGCTTTGTGAATTACGCAAGAATAAACCCATTCAAGCAGCCCTTTTTGGTACTCATTTTTCCTAGGTTCATTGCAATTACTACCGACATAGATGGCAAACTGCGGGGCCTCATTTTGAAATTTAGATGGCGGTTTTGATAGAAACTACGCTCGGCGATTTGGTGATCGACCTCTTCGTCAAGGAACGCCCAAATTGTAAGCGTTTTTTTGCGATCGAAATGTCTTGTTTTAGGCAGTCTCAACTTTTTGAAGCTCTGCAAAACGAAATACTACAATTTCTGCCAATTTCATCACATCCAGGTGAGCGCCAATTTCATTGTCTACGCCCTTTTTAGCAAAATTACATCGCTCAAACTGGTGATCCAACCGGGTCGGGACGCGGCGGAGAATCTATTTATAGGTAAAGTAATTTTGAATTCCGCAACAATTTCTAGCTCACTGTACGGCGAACAAGCAAGGTATTTTGAGAAGGAAGAAGTACCGAAGTTACGCCACAACCGACAAGGTATGCTTGTAATTTTTACGCGAAAAGTTGCTTAGGGTTGGTCTCGTTTGTCAACAATGGAAACGGAATGCTCGGCTCCCAGTTCTACATTACGCTCGGTGATGACTGTGATTATCTCGATGATCAGCATACGATATTTGGGCAGGTTTGTGTTAGATCGGGGACGATGTACGTCCATTCTAGGTGACCGAGGGCATCGAAACGATAGAGAAGCTGAATGAACAATTGTGCACTGACGAACATCGACCATTTCGAGATATTCGCATAGCCCACACGATTATTCTTGCCGATCCGTTCGAAGATGATCCTCGCTTGGAGATTCCCGCAAGGTCGCCATCGCCAACTTATGATAGGATCTTTTCGGTAGATTGCTTCGTTTTATTGGTCACTTACTGATTTCAGGGTGGCCAAATTGCCATTGATGAGGATTTACACGATCACGAGGGCATGACGGAGGAAGAGGTGAGCAAACTGTTGCGGGCCATGAAAAATATTTTTAGTTGAAACGAGAAATGGAAGAGCGCGAGATGCAGGCCCAGGCTCAAATCCTCGAGATTGTAAGTTTTGAAAAGTTGTGAATTAGTTTTTCTTTCATATTCATTTTTCTTCGTAGGTCGGCGATCTACGCAGCGCAGATGACGTCCCACCGGAGAATGTGCTTTTCGTATGCAAGCTGAACCCCGTTACTACCGACGAAGATCTGGAAATTATCTTTGCGAGGTTAGCCGAAATTTCTTTGAAATGTATATTCGTTTAGATTCGGGAAGGTTGAATGCTGTGAAATTATCCGTGACCGCCGAACAGGGCGTTCGCTGCAGTACGCCTTCATCGAATATTCAGACGTAATGTTTTGCCCCGAAACCTTAGTAGAATTAATTTAGCCCAAATTTGTGGAAGCTGCCTACTTGAAGATGGACAATGTGCTGATTGATGACCGACGCATTCACGTCGACTTCTCTCAATCGGTTTCAAAAAATTACAAATGGCATAAGGGACAAGGAGGTATGCGTCCTGTTTTTGTTGATCGGAAAATCCTAGGACGAGCAACGGAGATGAACGGTCAGGGCAATGAGAATAGAAAGCCCGTGGAGCGGCGTCGAGACGATAGGGTACCTTTTTATCATGCCTATTCCACTTACCTTGTTTAGAAACCGGAAAGACCGGTTGAACGCCGTCAACGCTCCCGATCTCCAAGGAGAGAGCCGCGGCACGAAGAGCGGCGAGATCGTCGCCGGGTCGACGAACGGGATCAGAGGCGAGAACGAGACCGCCGTGAACATAGGTATATTTTTGGGCCTTACTTTCGTAATATCGGCATGGATCGAATTTCGTATCGTCTGTGATCAACCTGGAAAAATGACAATTTTTGGTCGAAAATCTATATCTTTTAGTTTAAGAAAACGGAAATTCCACGAAGCGAAAATACAAAATACAAAACCAGAAACATCCACGGAAATCCGAGAATTGTTGCATACATCTACTTAATTTTTTCAGGCGTGAACGCGAACGCGAAGTCGTCGTCGATCGTTGGGGCGAGGTGCAGAAGCGAGAAATCAAGCGCGAAGCCTCGAGTTCACCAGAACGCTCCAGGAAGGATAGGAGGTATTTTTTTATTGAATTCCTCTAAAAAATTCAGGCAATCATCGCCGAAACGCGCACGTCGCGACGCTTCACCGGCGCGTAAAATCAAGAAGGAGGTTGTCAGGTATAAATATCTGCTCAAGACCCCAAAGTTCCAGTTTTTAGCTCGGACGATGAACGGGACCGTCGGGACAGAAAAGATAAGAAGAAAGAGAAAAAGCAGCGCCGGTAGGCCTCAGCTTTACTTGCCCCTTCAAAGCCAATTTTAGCTCGAGCTCAGGCAGCCGAAGCCCGTCAAGACATCGCCGCAGATAATCCGCTCGCCTTTGATTGTTCAATGTCTATCGTTAGTTATTGGTTTGTTATTGAAGGGTTTTTCTTTAGCACGGTTTATATGTACACCGTTGATCTCGATAAATTTTTAAAAGTTATTTTTTTGTAGCATCGAAAATACGCTTTATTGATGGATGGATAGGTTTTTAGACGTCAGTTCTTTTTGCATGCGACTGATGTGCACTTAGATTTTTTAGAGGAACTCGCAGCATAATTCGTCGTTCCGATTTTCCAATAGACAGAGCAAACTGTTTTCCGCATTGTTTTGTGGCCGGGCCCTAGCGGGAGCCATTTTGGCACCCTGGATCGATGCGGGAGGCACCCTGTTGTGTCCTTCTCTCTGCGTCTCTCCGTCTCTCCGTCGGAAGTCCAATACTCTTCCGCCGCCACTGGGGCAACCCTTAATTTGGGAGGCTCGAAATTTCAAGAATGAGTCGTTTGAGTGGCCGACTATTGAATCGGAGCTCGAGCTGAATTCACGAGCTTTAAATAGATATAAATATTCTTTTTTTAAAGGATTAAGTCTGCAGAATTTTAGTTTGTTTATCATCTTTCTAAAAGCATCTACAGTCCGTAACACTATCTTTTAACTCAACGGTATAAAGAAATCTCTAATCCTCTATTTCCCATTGGCCGGCAGCCAACCGGTTGACCTGACGTGATATCGCCCAGGTCAACAGCTGTTTCCTGCAACGAGCTCTCCTCGCCCTCTTGTCTCCCCTTTTTATTTGCCTACACTTGTGGCCATCACCGATTCATTGCCACATTTTACCCCCCACTTTTTCAGTGCCGCTTTCACGGATCTACAGCTCGATTTCTTAGCGTCATGGCCGGCTAAAGGTCATCTGTGTTCGGAGGATGAAGCGCAATAAAACGACAGAATTGTAAGGGATTAGTTATTGTATGTATTTTGATATCGTACAGGCTTCACAGTACCTTGAAATTGAGCAAATTTTTTGGGTGGCAGACTTTCTGATGAATTTTCCCAGCTCCATGGCTACACGGCTTTTCGAAACCGGGCAACAAGCTGCGTCATTTCTTGGAATGAGCTCGTTGGAACGCGATCGAAGCCAAGGCTTAGCTTAGGCTTAATTCTAAGCTAATTCTTTAGAGGATCGAGGGTGTGGCTAGGCTTGAGTTTCGTAATAACCTACCTAGCACCGCCTCCCTCGTAGGATTTTCCGGCTGAATAGGCCCCATTTGGGCCATTGGGACCCGCCGTATTTTTACGATTTGTTGCCAATGCCCCGCCCGCGCGCCTTGAACGCCTTTTTGCAGCTTTTACGGAGATTATAGTAAGAAAAGTGTTTTATACTAAATCTTATGAGATATTAGGCATTAATCTTTAGAGAAGTGGTCTATTATAATAAAGATTTTTCAGATGACCGCAACCTCTTCAATTATTCTCCCGGGCCCGTCCTCAAAATCGGAATGCGTCCGGGTCGTGGTGCGATGTCGCCCGCTCAGCGAGGGCGAGATCCGAGAGGGCCACCAAAGGTATGTAGCACGCAATAGATTAAAAATATCTTTAAAATTCTAGCTCAGAGGGCGTTGGGTGAGTTGTTGTCGGCTTTTTGTACTATCGTTTTGCCGCTTAAAATTGCTTTGAAAACCAACTTTGAAAATTTTACGGAGCAAAGAAAGGCATGAAGCTAGCAAAAGCAGTCATTTCTAGAGAATCATAAAATTAAATTTTGTTACAGCATCATCGCGATGGACACAAAGCGAGGTCTCGTCGAGCTGAAAAACCCGAAAGAGCCGAACGAGCCGAGCAAAGATTTTACGTTTGATTCGATCTACGATGGAAGGTAAAGTAATATAGGTTACCACAAAAATTACTCGTTTAGTTCAAAACAAGCTGAACTTTACGATGAGACTTTCCGGGATCTCGTCGAATCCGTGCTCGACGGATTCAACGGGACGATTTTTGCCTACGGCCAGACCGGAACTGGGAAAACGTATACCATGGAAGGTGTGTGATAATTGAAAACACATCCCATAGCCATTTTCAGGACGCTTGGATGTGGAAGGAGAGCGCGGAGTGATCCACAACTCGTTCGAGCACATCTTCTCCCACATCGCCCTCAGCCGCAACCAGCAATTCCTCGTGCGGGCCAGCTACCTCGAGATTTATCAGGAAGAGATCCGCGATCTACTCAATAAAGACTCGAAGGCTCGACTCGAGTTGAAGGTTTGTCTCCATGCAGTGGCTCTAGAAGATATAATTTTCCAGGAGCGCCCGGATGTCGGTGTGTACGTCAAAGACCTCTCGTCGTTCGTCACAAAAAGCGTAGAAGAAATCCAGCACGTAATGCGCGTCGGAAACGCCAACAGATCCGTCGGGTATCAGCAGCTAAAATATTTCTCAATCCATTACAAATTTAGGCGAACAAACATGAACGAGCACAGCAGTCGCTCGCACGCCATTTTCATGATCACGGTGGAGTGCTCGGAGATTGGGCCCGACGGCGAGACGCATATACGGTAAATTAGTGTTGCGTTAAAAACCACGTTTCCAGGGTTGGACGTTTAAATTTGGTCGATTTGGCCGGTTCCGAACGGCAAGCAAAGACTGGGGCAACTGGGGAACGCTTCAAGGTAAGGATTGCAAAAAATGCTTTGTAAGCGTCTAAAAAGTGTTAAATATGATTTTTGCTTTAGGAAGCCACCAAAATCAACCTCTCCCTCTCCGCCCTGGGTAACGTCATCTCGGCGTTGGTTGATGGAAAAAGCACACACATCCCCTACAGGGACAGCAAGCTGACGAGATTATTGCAAGGTAGGCCTACGGAAATAATTATTGATATTTTTACCTTTAGACTCTCTTGGCGGCAACTCAAAAACGGTGATGGTGGCCTGTATCGGGCCCGCCTCGTACAATTTTGAAGAGTCGTTGGGAACATTGAGATATGCGAACAGGTAAAGATTCTCTAAAACCTCCCAGTTCAACCATATCTAGGGCTAAAAACATCAAGAACAAGCCGAAGATCAATGAAGATCCCAAGGATGCGTTGCTGCGCGAATTTCAGGTATGTAACCATTTTCTGTGAACTGAATATAAATCCCAATTTTAGGAAGAAATCAACCGTTTGCGAGCTATGCTGGCAAATCGGAAAAAGAAAGGCCGGAGACGAAATCCGCCAGGAGGAGGAGCAAATGGCCGAAGAGCGCGAGGCGATTGAGGATGACCATTCGATGCGGGAAGAAGTATGGAAAACGTTTTTTTTCAGAAAATATCCTTGGTGTAGGAAAAGCAGCGTCTACTCTCCGAAATCGAGGAACGACGGCGACTCCTCGACCAGGAAATCGAGGCCCAAGCGGCTGTGGCGGCAAAGATTGAGCAGATGCAGAGCAAATTGCTATCTGGTAAACTAAAGAAACATAAAAATATGATTAAATTTAGGTGGCGCCGATTTGTTTGACCACACCAGGAGGCAGCAAGATGAGCTGGAGCGGAAACGGAAAGAGCTGGCGGATAGAAAGGCAAAAATACCAATATTTTTCCAATATTATTCTTGTTTAGAAGCTGGAACGCGAGATGCTCGACCAGTTGGAGCAGGAAGAGGAATCGGTGGCCGAGGTATATTAGGTTGTACCATAAGTAACTGCAGTTTTTTGATCGCAAAATTTTCATGTAAGCCACCATTCATTCTTTTCAATTTTTCAAAATGATGAAGGGTCATGTGTTGTCTGTCTGCAGTTATAACGATAACCCGGGACTCCCACAACTTTTCGAATTATCCGGAGAAGACTGCGCGCAACTCGACTTTTGAGCTATTTCGTTTGTGTGACGGATAGCGTCGGTGATCTTAACCCTAGAGCCCTGAATAAGCGGCAGTAGATAGAGAAATTTATGCGCTATGAAATGTATTGAACAAAATTTTGGTACCTAGTAGCATCGGTTTTTTCCAGGTCATTTTTGAAAGATGTCAAATTGGGTTTTTGGGCCCGAATCGTCAAATTTCTTTGTTGACCGTTTTCTCCGAGTTCTGTGGATAACTTTTTAAGCAAGTTTTAACAAAATGGAGTTTAGTTAAAGCTGCTTCAAGCCTATAGGTTATTTAAAAACAAATATTCCATATCGGTCTCGCAATGAAACATAACCCGGAATTTCGGGTACATTTTCCATGAATTTTTGTTTCCCTGAATGTTTGGGTTCGGAGCATCGGAAATTTTAGTACAGTATCTACTGCCAATGCCCAATCATAATAAATTATAGAGAATATTTGATTGGCAAGGATTAAAGAGTAGCGACCGCAACTGTTTGTCGCCGGCACATCTCAGGGTTGGGACTTGTTGATCCACTAAGTGGCAAAAATTGTTGAAGTAAATGAGGGAGTGATACAGGCTGGTATTAGGATAATGATTGTCATTAAGTGTTGCTTAGATGCAGTGGGTCAGCTTTAATTTTATTCGCCTCAAAAAAATTGATAAGATCCGGTTAGCCACGCGCATCGGGAATTCGAATTTTTTTCCAAACTTTCGTGAATATCGGCTGCTTAGAAATCCGTGGGGCCAATTGAGCACCACAGCTAAGAAGATATTAAACTGGCATTATATATTACAAAAGACGCTTGGGGGATTTCGGTGCTAAGAATTTTTACATGGCTCGAAAGGAAGAGGGGTCCGGAATGTCGCTCACTCGGGTCGATGGGCGCCTCGGGGAAAACATTTATAAAAAATGTTTTAGAGGCAGGATTTTTTCGAAATTTTTAGGGCATATAGTACCCTTCTAGTTTAAACAGTGGGCTAAAAACGGGATAACCAGATGGTGAAATTTTTCCGGGAAAGGCGACCGAAGGTCGTCTGCAGTTACTTATGGTACAACCTAATAAAAAGATTTCCTAAATAAGCTTTCAAACGTCTGTTTTTTGTAGCTGGACACTACATTCTCCTCACTGCGCCAAGAGGTTGAAGCCAAGGCGCGGAAGCTCAAGAAGATCTCCATAAAACTGCAAAAAGCCCGTCGCGAACTGCAGGACCTCCACATTGCGCATTCCGACGAGCGCAGGGAGCTGGAGCGGGACGTCTCCCAGATGAACATGGAGCTGAAGCTGAAGTGAGGGGAAAATTTTTTTCTACTACATTCTCGCTTTCTTCTTTTAAAAATACTAAATTCTATGCCGTTCCTCGGGTTGCCACGCCGGCGAAAATGGAAGCCAATTTTTGTGCCTATTTGCCTAGCAGCTCACCGATCCCCATACAACCGCTGGGGCTTGTTTTCTGTTTGCCGGCCCCAGCGAGAAAGAGCAAACATTTTTTGGAAATTCACCCCTTTCCCGCCTACTGGCAGCTTCCGTCGGCGCCAAAATCCGAGCTAGAAGATGGTTTTTAAAGGATTGCTCGTGAATTTAACATTTTTTACATTGATTAATGATGTATATGGTTCTGGTTTCTTAGCGGGGGGGGGGTTACAGGTGGCTAACCTTTTGCAATGTTACAGTAGGCGCCCTATAATCAAAAACAAATCTTTTACTAACATTTCAAAGTCAGTTTAAAAAAACCTCATAAAAAATTAACTAAATTAACCAAATAAAATATATATTGTGCACTAGATAGCCCCCCCGCTAACGTTCAAGTACCGCGATTCGTGAGGCATATTCTGACCTGGAGCTCCCATTGATCCGGCATGCATCGTCGGAAATCAAGGCCGTCGAGTGTGCCCCCCCCCCATATGCTGGATATGATAAGTGGTTGTGAGGGGGGAGTGAGTACGTACTTTCCCATGCACAATCGAGTGCTGCCCCCCCCGGGGATCGCGCAGTCGGGGCTGTTCCCCCATGATCCCCTGCTCACTCTATATTAGTCGACCGGCTCGTGCTGGTAGCGACAATTGGATCGGTACTGGACTGTTAGCGCGGGGGGGGGGGTTAGTGCGGCGGAAACTTGGCCCCTAGCTACATACCCTCTATTGGTTTTTTTGTTGTTTTTAGTGGTTTTTAATGATTAAAAAATTCATAAAACTGTTTAGAGAATTGCAATAAATTTGCCCTGCAACTAGAATTTGCGCTGAGCCGATCCTCCTGGGACGCTTTCCAAAACGAAAATTTGCGCATGTTTTGTCGCAACCGTCGCCTGCTAGGCACAATTATTCAAATCCGAATCCGTGTTTTTCGGTCGTAATTCAGAGAACCCGAAACTATGCTGGATTTTTAGTTTTTCATGCTTACCCTGGCTGTTTCGATATACGTGAAGCACCATCATAATGCAATTGGAGCCTCCCCCATGGCATTGCGACTGCCGCGACAAATTGACGCCCGAGTGGCCAATTTTCGGAATGTCCATTCCCCCAGTTCACGGTCGCGACTCTTTTTCTTCGCAGCACTACCATCCACGCTTTGCTCATGCTCGAAAACACAAAATAGCGCCTTTTTCAGCCTTTATTTAGGCTCTGACACGAAAAAAATGTAAAAGACGAATATTGAACAGATCTACATATTCGTTTTCTATATCTTTTTTTAGGACTGCTTGGATTATGTTTTGGCTCCTTTTTTCCTTGAACCAATGACTCATTTTCAGCCTACTCTTATCAGATGAATTCCTCGGCCTAGTGAACTCAAAAAATTTCCGCTGCCATTCCATAAACCCCCAGGAAATAGGGAGCTTTTCCCGTCCGCATTCCATCCTCATAAATATCCACGAGGAGCCCCAACAGGGATGGCCCTAAATGGGGCAACCTGAATGGGCCGCCGCTTATGAGAGGGCCCACCCACTGGTCGATGGGTACTTTCACGGGCCCTCCTCACTCTTTTGTCCCTCCCCTTCCTGACAAACGCCCATCTTTTGCTTCGATTCCCCCCATTGCTTCTCTCTATCTCTTGCCTTCTCTTTTGCTGGCCCTTCCGTTTGTCCTTCTCCTCCCCCCTCCGGGCTTGTGTCCAAATGACCCACCATTCAGTGGGACCCATGCACAAGCACGAAATACGGCCAACAACTGCCCGCGGCCACTCTTGCTTTTTTATGTTTTTACCCTGGTAGCGGCTGCAAAAAGCCGGTGTTCCACCGAAAGGCCACGCAACCGACAGCTGGACCCGATTTCTGGGTTGTCAACGATTTCGCGGATTTTAAGAACTTTTTTGGTCCAAGGGTTAGTAGCGCTTTCCAGGATTCGTAGAGGAAAACGTGTAGCTTTTCTTTTTACATATTTTCATGAATTTTTGTAAAAAACGCTCTACCCTTCGAATTCCATACGAAAATCAATTTAATTTTGGCGAATAATGCGTTTATTTTCCACTTGGTTCAAAACTTTTTCGGTACTGGACTGTTAGCCGGGGGAAGCTAATTAAAGGGTACAATTATTGTGTTTCTATTTTTGTCTTAGTTTTTGATTGCTAGAAACTTACAAAAATATATTGAAGCATTTTTAAATTAGAAATTTTTGTTATTTTTTGGTCATTTTTCACACATTTTTAACCAAAAGGCAAAGAATTTCGAAAACCTTGATTTTTTTATGTTTGTTACAAGATCTTTTTTTTTGTACAGCACGGATTACGGGGTAAAATTTGTTTCCCCCTGACAACAGAGCAGTACCGCTTTCTAGGTAATTTTTATGGGTTGCCACTGATTTTCAGATATTTGGGGTTGGCTTCGCTTTACTCCTTTCCGTATAACGGGTCCTCTAATTTGCCTACAAATTTTTAGGGGAAATTGTCGTGAAATCTACCTTTTTTCCTCATTAGCTACAAGGTTTTCTGGGCCTAGCCATGTCACTTCCGAATTGTTGCCGACTTCCCCGACTCACCGTTATCGCCGCTTTCCGGGCCCCTCCCCCAAATTGGCTTGTCTCCACCCGGACTGACTCCCGAATGCATCCATTTTTCCTCCTCTTCCTCCTTTTTTCTTCCAGGCTTACCTAGCGCCCCCGGTCCCTCTCCTCCAAATCAATGGCTCGGAAGGAGAAGACCTTCACTCACAGCCCTCATTCTCCCCTCCCTTTTTTGACCCCCCTCACCCGCCTCCTTCAATTGTCGTTCTCGCTCACCTCACGGGCGAGCACACGCAAGCACTTAGCCCGTGCTCAATTTCTGCCAGGAATTTCCGGCTCTGCGATTCCTGAGTTTTTCATTAATTTACCGTTAATCGTTACCAGATTTGCAAGTTTTTCGAAATTTTTTAGAAGCAGAAACCTGATTTTACTTTAGTAATTTTCGACGCCGCGATCCCTAATTTTTCACTGCAATATTTTTCTTAGAATGAGCTAAAGCGAACCAGATGCTTTTTTAAATTCGCTGGAATTTCGATTCGACAATTCTGTATTTTTTACTATATTTTTTGCCTTTAATCGCCACATTATTTGTCAGGTTTTTTTTTGGAAAGGCCAAATCAAAGCAGGAGACTTTTATGTTACCGGGAATTTCGATTCGGCGATTGCTGATTTTTTGTTATTAACCTAGCCTTAATCGCTACCGTATTTGTCTTTTTTTAAAATATTTAATTCCACGCAAACAGAAGCCTCTTTTCCGGTTGAAGATTTCTACTACGATTTCCTTAATGATCAACAATCACGCTAACTATGGTGTCCCCCAAAAAATGAGGCCGTAAATCCTGTACGACTCGCGACACCATCCCCCTCCCTCTCTCCCCATTTTTATTAGCCTTCTCCCAGTTCGCCCATGCACTAACCAGCTGAAATTTGGCCAAAAAACACCGTATATTTGTAAATCCACTAGACCCGGAACTTTTTTTCTTCGGAACAACTCTATCTTTTTAACTTTTCACGAGAATTCCTTGTTTTTCTGCTTGTCACGACGCATTTTCGGGTTTCGTCCAGACTAATTCGCATTAGGGGGCCTGTGATCCCTTCTCTGCTTTTTTGCCAAATTGATTCGGCGGTATATTCGATTTTTAGGCTCCTAATCGTCGAGAACTTCATCCCGTTCGACGTAGCCGATCGGGTGCGCACGAAGGCACACTGGGACGACGAGGCAAGCACTTGGACGCTGCCCGGGGCCCGGCCACTGTCACAGGTGAGCTTATGTTATTAAAAAAACGCTGGCCTGACTTGCTTTAGGCGAAACTTAATCGCGTTCTGGTTCGTTAGCGGGGGGAGGCATTTGGCACGGCGGATTCTAACTTTTTCCAGTGTGGCAGTTCTTAGCCGGCCTATCTGCGATCGTATGGGTGTGAAAACTAAGAAATTCTAAATTTTTTATTAACATCTCAGGTTTTTTAGATATAAAAAGTAATAAAAATACGAATTTTCGAAAATTCTTGATTTTTGTTTAGAAATATTTCTGCTAATTAAAATTTCAAAATTTTAATTCTTGGAAAAGATTTTTATAATTTTAAGGCTGAAGCTGGAAAAAGTTAGGCTGAACAAAAAACAAAGTCCCCCCCCCCCGGTAACAAACCAGTGCAAATTTTACCAAACTTTTTTTACCAGACTACGGCTGACGTTTCCTTTTTAGGATACGCGCACCCCGGCACGACCATCAACAGCTGGACAGGCCTTACTGGGTAGGTGGCCGATCCCGCCGTATTGCGTAGGTCTCATCAGAGTGCCGAGGATCGGATTACAATCCCCGGCCGGCCCTCTCAATGAATTATTGATCTTCTTCTCTCTCTCTCTCTCTCCATCTCGGCTCATTAGGCTTCATCCTATTATTTCCCGGGGTGTCTGTTTAAACAATAAACCGCTACCCCTTGTAGTCGACGGCCTGCTATCGCGTTCTTCCGGCGGCGACTCGGGCTTGGCGGGCAGTGAAAGCGAGGGCGAGCGTCGCGACATCCTTGCAAATCGACCGGTAATTTTTCAAACTGTGCGGGGTCTTATTTTCTTTATTTTCAGCTCTCCGTCCCTGGGCTCCGTCGGCCGATGAGCGCCTGGGAGAAGGCGAAGATCGACCGGGCCAGGGAGCGTCTCGCCAAAATTCGAAGACTTCCCCTCAACCAACCCCCACCATCGACAGTGCACGCGGTAGATTGGCTTGAAGATAATAACCCCATAAATTTCAGCTTTTCCCCGAAGACATCCTGCGCTTCTGCGGGGAGAACGTGCTCGTCTTCACCACCCTTGAGAGGCCGGAATCTGGGGTCAGCGAATATCGACCATGCTCGTCGCAGGTAGGGAGAAGTTCCTAAGAATTGTCAATAGAAGCGGATTCTCGCAAAAACTAGCAATACTCAAAACCCAAAAACAAGAAAAGCAAAAATTTTAGCGCCCAACGAACGTGGAGATCGACGCCTCGAAGCTGGCCTCCAGGCATCGACCTCAACGCCATGCCGCCACAGCTCCCACCCAACGGTCCGTTCCACTTTAAAAACTTTATGCCAACAACTTCCAGACCTCGCTCCGTCTCAAAAAACGGACGCGCCCGCAGCGCGCTTGGCAAGGCGAACCCCGACGAATCTGGCTCTGCCCACACCGCCACCAAGGGTAGGCCCAACTCCAGGGCGTTCAAGGCAAACCAATTTTTTAGTGCCCGTACCTTTATACCCGAAGGCACGCGGCCTGGTGGGCGGTCGGCGGGCCCTGTAGAGCCGCCGAATATCATCGACCACCCGTCCATCCTGTCCAAAACAAGACTCACCCCACCCCCGGCGCCCGTCATCTGGGACCTGCTCGACGCCAAGCCGTCCAGCAGCGCCTCCAGCGATAGTGAGGGCATCTGCGCCGACTGTCCGCCGCCCCGGGAATGGGATGCCAGGTTGGAGAAGTTCATCATACCGAAATTTCAATACGCAGAAACGCATAGCGATGACGAGAAAAAGATTGAAAGGGAGAGAGAGAGAGAGAGAGAGAGAGAGAAGAGAGAAGGGGGGGGAGAGAGAAAATCGGTTTTTACAACACCTATTTTAGCTTCCACGCCTCCTCCTTTCACGGGCAACTCCCCAATCTGATGATTGGTGTCGATTTGGCCGAGCTGCTTGTCCCGCCGTTGGATTTGAGGTACGGAAAACTCAGATTTAAATAGAACAAGGATCCTCGGTAGTAAGTAGATGATCAATAGCTTTAAATCCGCGTTTTCAAAATCTACCTTTAGCGAACTGGTCGACTCGCCGGGAAGACGTTGCGCATCGGTGCCTAGGCCCGATTCGCGCTTCGAGACGTCACCAGTCCCGTCGATGAGCCGCTCGTTTTACAGGTTGGTTTTGCAAACATCTCATGGCAGGTGAGCCTGTTTTTGTAGGAAAAACATTTGAAAACAATTTTCTGTTAAACCATTTTAATAAAGAAAAAAGTATACAATTTAATTTAGCGCCGAGCCCCGTGCCACCCGTATCCCAAAACCAGCCAGTCTGTCGTCGTCCTTCTCCGCCACCTCGACGCCGCGCTCGAGAAATCCACGTCCGGTGGCCTTGTCGGCGCCGTGTGGCAGTCGTGAGCAGCTTTGTGAGGGGTTGGTTTTTACTTCCAATTTTAACTTTTTAAAGTTTGCTAATAAATTTAAATGTCTTCTATCAAACTACTTATCTGATTTTTTAGATATTCCGATCTGCATTCCCGGGCAAGAGAGACGATAGCCAGAAGCCAACAGGGCACCCCGAAGAGCACCCCAAGAGCTGATGAACGGTAAAACATCCGACAAACGTTTAACTCTTTCAATAGGAGTCTCCTGTTCGGTGCGTCGACCCATCGCTCGATGTGTGGCGGCTGGGAGAGCCCATCGACCTCGTATTCACAAGGGCCGCCCGCTGGACGTCTTCTGAATCGGCCTCGGATGAACCAGTTCGACAGTATGCCGAGGATGGAGAGGGTTCGTTGTCGTTCGTGTTTTACTGTCCCCGCTAATGAAAAAACCCAGAAGGTTTTGGTATTCGTTCGTTAACGGGGGGGGGTAGGGTTATCAGGGGAAATTTAACTTTTCCGTACTTTTCCGGAGATTAGCCCGAATAAAGCGAGACCTCCCCGGCCAACGCATCAGATCTCATATTTCTTAAATTAATTTTTAGACGCGCCGACAACGCGACCATTCGGCGGATCTCTCACTGTCCTGCAGATCGGCATCCTTCTCGAAATGGCGTGGCCCGCCGAAGCGCAAGGCGATGAGCGGTAAGTCGAGTTTTTTCAGTAATTTATAACATTTTTCAGTTTGCTCTGGTGCGTCCTCGTTCGGGTTCGATATGGACAATTCGGTCTTCTTACGATCCGAAGAATATTGTCGAGCAACGACGGCTCGCCCGAGGAGAAAGGTGCGGAATTTTCTTGGGAATTTAGTGTTATTTTGAAGTTCTCGGGATTTTAATGTGATTTAGAAGCCGAGCCTCGCGCAACCGACAGCTGTGAAATCACGTCGAGGTCGATGTGACGGTTGTCGCCTGGATTCTCGACTCAGATCGAGGTGAGTCTTGGGATTCAAATTTGGGCTTGGCTGAGCTTTGGCATTAACGGGGGGGTATTTTTTATGCAAAATTTGGCAATATTTTCAGTGCAAAACTATCTAGAAAATAAGATTAAAAGATTTGGATTTTTATCGAATATTGATTTTTTTTTGTGACTTTCTTCATCATTTTGTGTTTATGAATTGTAAACAAAGTAAAAAACGGTTCCTAGTTTCTATAAGATAAATTTAACCCTCTGAAAAATTCTCCCCTCCCATTTAAGAGAACTGTCTTGTCTAGTGCACGATCTGAATCTCGCTCTCCTCAACGACCACATTTTAGAAGACGTTGCCGAATCGGGAAGACCTACGTGATTCGGCGGGACCGTTGCGTCTGTGGCCGTTTGCCAGAGGCCAACACCAACAAGCCGAACGCGCTGCAGCACAGCGTCTCCCTGGACTGGGCCATATTCTTTGCCCTGATAGCCCTTGTCTTCCGAATCCTTCTCGCCTTCTTCTAGCTGGTATCAGATACGGTAACCCCTAATTGAAAGGACATTCCACAGTGGCGCTCCCCTCCTTCGGCATAGGCTATAGAGTACAAACGCGTTTTTATATTAGAACTCGAGTAAGCCGGCTGCCCCCCCCTCCCCAAATGGACCAAAGTCGATGATTTTCCAAGCTCTGTGATATCGTCACACACAGTATTCGCCAAGCCTTATTTTTCCTTTAAAAATAGTTTCCTTAGAACTCTTCGGTTGTTGGGGGCTGATCGCAAAATTTTTGCAAGTTTGTGGATGATCACGACCCTCCTCTCCCTACCTGACCCCTCCTAAAAGTTCTGTGAAGTTCGCTGCGGGCTCCCTATTTCCTTTTTGTGTACTTTATTATCTTTTTAAATTGATCTGAAATATCCCAGAGAGACATAAACGATTCGTGTTAATTTATTTGGTTTTTGTAAGAGATTACCTGGCGTCATTTGTGACTGTTTTTTATGTCCTCTAGAGCCACGAGATAAAAATGTGAGATTTGAATGCGTAATATTGCACGACGGAAATGAATACAAACAATATAAATATATTTGATTCCGGAAGTAGTGAAAGTGGAGCGATGAAAGCCGGCATTCTCTTTCACTGACATTTCTCGCCCGATTCGATGGCTGCTGCGGGCTTCGAGACCAAGTGGGACTTTTTCTGACCAAATTTGCAGAACAAATCAAAAACCAGGGTTGAAAATAGGGTTGTTTCTCGGAACAGGCCGAGATTCGGAACATTCGGAACAGCAACCGTTCCGACTGTTCCGAATATCAGAACTTCAATTTACGTTTCCGGCTGTTCCGAGATTCGGAACATTCGAGATTGTTTCCGACAGTTCGAGATTCAGAACAGTCCGAATAAGTGTTCGAAATTCAAATTTTTTCGCATGTAAATTTCAAAAACAAGATGAATTTCGTCGATTCCCAATTCGTTCTCATTTCCTTACAGTTAATTAATATAAAACCATCGACGGATTAAGTATTCAGTCTAATTACGGCAAAATGGAACAAGTTACAACACAAACGCAACGAAATACAGCGAAAAAATTGAATCGGAACAGCAATCCGGACTGTTCCGAACCGGAACAGTCGGAACAGCAAATCTCGGAACGTTCCGAACCGAACAGCCGGAACACAAACTCGAACAACCGCAACATTGAATCTGGAATGTTCCGAATCTCGGAACAGCCGGAACACGCACCGGAACGTCCGACCAGTCTTCCGAAGTTCCGAATCCGTCCCGAGAAACAACCCTGGTTGAAAAGCCGCTTCGCGACTTGGCCCCCTCTATCCCAGGTATTCGCCCTGCATAATTCTCGCGATTCGAGGACAAAAAATGAGAAAAGGACCCTGCTCTTATGTAGGCTACCGCAACTCCGGCGTATGCTAATTGTTTCCAACAAAAAGGGTGGCCCATTTTTCAACAAAAAACTTGATTTTAACATCGAAAACACCGAATTTTTGAAAATTTTATGAATGTGCAGTCATCCCACGGCCATTACGCACCTGATGAGGCATAAAGCATACCCCTAGCTGCCCCCCTTATTAGATACTACTGAAACGCTGACGGAGGTTGCATGCAAATGCACACACATACACACACACACAGACAATTTTATATAGTAGGATGTTAATAACTCTCGTTTTTTTCAGCTTTTTCAGCAAGTTCGAGCAGTTTTTTCAATTGAAAATTCAATCTTCGACGAAATCTATCGGCTCCAGTCCAAAAACATTCATTGCGGGGTTACCGTGAAGAAAATTTCCCTTTTACCTTTCAAGCATGGGCAGGCTAGCCGAGATACTTTGGGCAACCGTTTTAACTTCTGCTTCCCAGATGCCTATCCGACTTGCGCTCGTTGGCGACGCTGAACGACGGCGAGCCGAATCGTGTCGACCTCTACGTGCCGCCCGTCCTCCGCACCGGGCGCATCGACCCGCAGGGCTGCCAGATCACGGCACAGTACAACGAGGCCACCCAGCGGTATCCACATAGCCCTAAATCCATTTCTTGGCTTCAGCATGCGCTTCAAGTACCAGCTGTACTGGGATGAGGTCGGGCTCGGCTCGGCGGCCGCCAGAAACGACAGGTCGCTGCTCTCGAGCAGCCGCGACGTGCGCACAGCCGTCCAGGATCTGCCGGCCGTGCTGTGCGACGGGCCCTGCGGCAAGGAGTACGCGCCGGAGCACCTTATTGTGGGTTTCTGGACCTTGGATCCGCCTAGATTAATAAATTCTACTACGACATCCACTTCTACCTGTTCATAGACCCCAAAAAAAAAAAAAAAAGGGAGAGAGCGCGCCGGGGGGGGGGGGGGGGGCCCCCAACTGAAGCCGACTTATTTTTTAGACAATCGGCCTCTGCGGCCACTACTTGTGCAATGACTGCTCGCAGCAGAAGACGAAAGGAGGTCGGTGGACAGTTTGAAGTTTCTAAAGACGCATTCTAGGGATGATGCGCTGCATGGCCCCCTCCTGCGACCAGGACTACAAGGACATGTGCAACAACACGAGCCGTGGTAGTAGTCGCGTCGAGCGGCGGCTGTCGTTATGCTCGGCGGCCAGCGAGGAGCCCCCGCGCAGCCGCGATACGGATGGCTGGCCGAACGAGGGCACCCTGTGCGGCACGCCGAAGCAGTTGCAGTCCCGCCCCGTAAGTCTGAAAATATCCGGCAAATACGTTTTGGCTCATCAGGCAACGGCGTTGTACACTGGCCACTCGTCGGACTGGACGCGCACCATCACCCCGGTGCTCTCCGTCGAGATGGTCGTCGTCCGCGTGCTCGTCGTCAAGAAAACCGGCTACCACACGGAGCGCAAGCAGGTTTACGAGGTCCGCGGTTTCTTTGATTACTAAAAGCATGAAAATCGCAAAATTTGAAAAGTGGAATGTTTTTCTATTCCATAGATTTTTGACCAAAGATCCAACATTTTCCCAAGCTTTAATACTCTACTATACTTAACATCCGCGTAAAAACCTGCATAAATGGTGTGTATTGTTAGGGGGATAGGCCAAAGACCCCCCGCTAACATCCCAGTACCCTCAATTCTAGGGTGAATACGAAGGCAGCTTCCCGCTTGGTCGCGCCCTGATGGCCGTGTTCGGCAACTGGGGGTTAGCCAGATAACCCAAAGCTCAATCTTTCTCCCACCATTCAGCGAGGGCAAGGTGTACATCTGCCACAAGCGCTTCGGGGCCCCAGACCATCATCTCGTCGAGCTGGACATGGCCAAGGAGGCCAATTCGCCCCTCAACAAGGTGAGAGCGTCCCTTTTCAACACCTGCAACATATTTTTCAGTTCACCGCGATGACCCGCCGCGGGATTCTGAACCTGGCCGTCGACTACAGTGGCCGCATGTTCTCCACCAAGACGTTCTAGCCCCGCCTTCCGCTGCCTCCAGTTAAAAATACTCGCCCCCTCCCTCCCCTTCCACCTTTTCCATTGTCTAAGCTGCGCCATTCACTATCATTCATTTACCGAGTCGAATCTTTCGTGCTTACTGGTTTTCTGCTGTGTGCGCGCCACCATTCTGTTTCGTGTGTATAAATTATATTTCGGATACCCAGAACATGCAACAACATCACAGAGGGGGAACCCGAAAAAGCAGAATACCACCACCAGGGATTATGAGGGCCAGATGACGCGGCGCTTGGCCTCGTTGATGTTGGGCGCGTGGACACGGTCGATGGCCGAATCGAGGAATCTGCAAAAGATGATTTGCTACCAGAATTCGAAAATTTGTAATATTGAAATTACTCGGAAAAGATTCCAAATGTCGAATTTTTCGATATTATGAAATTTCCGCATTATGAATTTCAACATTTCAAAATAAGCCGCAAGGTCCCATTGATACATTGGATGCCGATACGACGATAATTCTAACCTCGACAATATGATGCTATTGGTCGACCCAGGAGCGATCAGGCGTCGACAGTCCACGTTGATACGCTCGTACGGACTCCTGAGGAACACTTCGCAAAATTACCACACAAAAACCTGTCCAATTTGATGGCATTTCGATTGTTAGCCAGATCAACCTTTGTCCCGATGATCAGAATCGGAATGTGGGCGCTCTCAATAAAGGCCATCAGCGGTCGTGCGCATTGCGGGGTCCGTTTCGCCGTCTCCGGGTCGAGCAGCGCCATCCATTGCCACAGATTGTCTTCGCTTTTACTGTTTGCCAGGTCATGCACCTAAAAACCATTTTTAACGAAAAGACGGCTAGAACAAACCAAAATCGCGCCGTGAGCCCCTTCAAGGAAAACGGATGAGGCTGTTCGATGGGCCACCTGCCCTCCAATATCCCACAGCGATACAACCTCCCGGCGAGTGTCGACCGAACCTGAAAATTGGATTCAAAAACTCTTCAGAAACCCGACCTCCACGATAGTTATGTCGAGCCAGCGATATCTTGCAGCCAACGGTGCTAGGCTGATGCTCGTCCGGCCTAATAGAGCCGTCACAGAAACCGGAAGGCCAATTACCTCCCCGCGATAGTGGCACAAAGCGCACTTTTCCCGACACCACTATCGCCCAGCACCACGATCTTGGCAGTTGCACGCTTTGGACGGGTGTCCTCCATGTCGGGCGAAGTGAACATCTAAATAACAAGGTCTTTTCGAGAAAGCCGTCTTACCATTGCAGCTCGGTGTTTTTCTTCGTCACCTCAAGGCAAAGGCTACAGCTGGCGCACTCGAAAACGCCACGATCGACAATTTGAGAAATCTAAAGCAGCATTCAATAGGTTTCTACAGGTTTCTATAATACCTCCGCCGGGGTGATAAGGTATTTATCCCCGCACCGACAATATTCCTCAAGCTCTTCCTCGTCGACGTCAATTTCGATCGCTTCGACAATGGTTCCCTAAGAAAAATAAAATAGAATTTGTAAAAAGTACCCAACCTTATTCGCGCGCAGCTCTTGCTCCTTTAGCCAGAGATCGTATGTTTTGCGTTTGATCGGATCCTGAAATTGTATTGATATCAAACTCCTCTAAATAACCTTTAATGTATTCCAAATTGTTGTCCCAATCGAAATCCCTTCCGGATCCGCGTCCGCTTCTCCCTTATCTGGATGAACGCGTCGCAAATAGGAGAAATAAGCCTAAAATTGCGACATAATCCAAGGAGAACAGTTCCAACCTTTTTCACAGCGTCTTGGCTAGCGTCCGGGGCAACGGCTAATAGATCGTAGAAGCTACGCATGCAGCCAGGGCATCCACCTAGAATCTGATACACAATATTTCAAAAATGACAAGACCAAGAATGGAATGGATCGAGAGAAATCACAGAATCAAAAAGGCTTCAACTCCTTCAGGGACAGTTCATCAAAGGCGGCTATTCCGGAATCAGGTAACATATTCAGGCATTGCGTGCCCTGGAGCAGTCGCTCCCACCCAAGGGGCTCGAAATTATTTGGACTCGTTTGGAAAGCTTTTCTGGCTTCTTTTGCTCGGGCAATATCTTCGAACGACGTTCCAACGGCGACAGGATGATTGTCGTCTATGTAATGCTCTTCAAAAACGTATTCATCAAGTGGCTGGCCGTTTTCCGTACATTGTGTATCCAGCAGATATCGACCAGGTAAGTGGCTTGTAGTTTCATCCAGCGTGAAATCAATTGTACGTAGATCTTTTACCAATCCGATGCCGGTGGCTTTCAGGATAGCCTCTTTCAGGCACCAAACTCGGTAAAATGCCCTCCACTTGTCGATTTCTGTGGTTTGTTTTTCCATATAAGCGTGCTCGCCGACCGTGAATAGATTCTTCATCTTTTGCCTATGAGAATCGGCAGTTTCCCCTCGATCCATGTCGACGCGCATCACATCAACGCCAATCCGATGCTTAGAATCAGAGGCGAGCACCACGTATTCTCCATGATGAGAAATGTTGAACTGATGAGCGCTGCTGGGAGATTCGACAAATGGCTTCCCTCTCTCGGTTCTGGCTATGACGACCCGATTCCAATCCGAATTTGTCGTTGTCACAGCAAATTGGCGGGCCAGTAGTCGACTGACGAGGCAGGCAAGCGAATCATCTCGGTAGACAAATCTCCTATGCTCTTCGTACTCCTTCTCGGTTACGCATTGGACGCCTGTGCGGTAGTATGCCTCAAAATGGGTGCTCTTCTCGAGTTCCCGTAAGTTCACTGCCCAGCGAAGCCTGGTCGCAGACATCTAAATAAGGAAGTTGTAAAGGCCAGGGGAACGGTTCCAATATCAACTCGAACTTTTCGAATTTAATACGATAATTCAGGCCAAACTGATAGAATCTTTTATCGAATCCGGGCCTGGGACAAAGTATGTATATGCAAGGTTTCATCATATATACACGAATCGTAGCTATAAATGCGCCAGCTTTAGCCAGCCCCGGAATTAGTCGGGATTCTCGAGATCGAGTGTCTTGACGGCCACCACGTAGCGCACATTATTGCGGTCGGGCTCTTCGGCCGAGATCAGCGGGGGTGGGTCGCCGCCGTCGCTAAAAGAAGAGGATTAACCCAGGAGCCAATTTTACCTGGACGGTCGTCGGGCACCTATTCTGTAGCTGACATTCGCGTACTCCCTCAAGCAAGGGCAAACAGCCAGCAGCCAAGAGCATACCGGCGCGCGAAGCCCGCACCACCAGACGTTGCCTCCACGACTAAAACGAGTTTTTCCTTTTCTAATCTCGGAACTAGGTGGTATTGCTGGCGAAAAGCCTTTGGCCCACCTGCCACATGCCATCAGCATCATGCAGAAGAGCGACACGGCGAGTGGTGTCAGCACGACAGTGTACGGAATTTCTTCGCTCTGGTGCATAGTTTCCAATTTTCCTAAAATTATCTTGGATTAAGTTTTTCTCGTCGGCTTACCAGTAAGAAGAACGAGACACACAAGCGCTGGAAGAACAAGTAATGTGTGAAATACTGCCGAGTAGAGATGGTGCCGTCTAAGACAATATTTCATAATGATGTTACCAACGAACCTGTGAGCTGGCATCAAATGCCGCGAACGAGCCAACAGAACAGCTAATATTAAAGCATACAATACCCCGACGACAGACAAGGATAAGACTACCCATAGAGGAATGAAGACCACTGCCCACGACCAGTCGAGCTGAAAACCGTTATTTTTTTCAGCCAGACACTTTTTACCTGGTGGTCCAGCTTAAAAGCAATAAACACAAACTGCACAACGTTGATTGAAAAGAAGAGCTCGAGCTGAAAGATCTACGTAAAAACTAATTACAAATCAGTTCACCTCAAATGGCTTGTCATGGCGAATCGCCCAAATCGAGACTAGTATTGCAACGATCGACAACAGGAAGATCGGCATGAACACAAAAATCCAGCTGAAAAATTGTCAGCCCGTTCTTGATGGACCTACGAAAAGTAGACGTCTTCCATGGCATATTGGACTTTGAAATAGACGAGCACTTCGAACGCCGTCAAGATCAGGTGCTCAATGGTGGTGAGTATCATTGCCGTAAAATCAACCCGCAGCGCTATCTCATTCCTGAAATGATACTGTTATGATATTTCAAGCCGACAAACTGGGTGGGAGGGCGAATGAAGTAGGATACGCAGCCGAGCATCGCCGCCAACACCACGGCCGCCGTGCAGGCCCAAAGCGGCAAGAAGATGAAGCCATAGTTGAGGTCGATGTAGTTGTCGAGTTGCAGGGCCAACAGCGCGACGAATGACAGCATACAGCCGTAGAGAATAAATTTGCTAAAAGGGCGATCTTTGGGAGTGCCTATAAAACGACTCACGCTGCATTGAAGCCCCGGAAGAAGACTCCAAGGCTTATTTCGGTAGGGTCTTCCATTACATCAGATCACAGGGTCACATTTGAAGCTCGTTTTGATCTGCAATAACTTTTTTTAGTAAGATTTTCGGTCGATTGAGATTGCCTAGATAACTTTCTGTTGAGAGAGCTTAGGGGAGGCTCGGCCATTGGAGCGGCGAGTAGCCATTCCTTGGTGGTCTCTAACTTGAAAGTTTTACTTTTGCAACGTTGTAAAGATGGCTGAACCGAAGAAACACGGAGTGCTTTTCGTCTGCTTAGGTAATTCTATTGAATAAAAACATTTTAAATGACCTTTCAGGCAACATTTGTCGATCGCCGATTGCTGAGGCCGTCTTTTTGGACATCCTGAAAAAGAAGGGACTCGAGAATAGGGTAATTCTTATGATCAATGACAATGACAATTTTTAGTTTGACGTTGACAGCGCCGCTGTTGCCGGATATCACACCGGAAAGCGGCCCGAGAAGCGGACACTGGAAACATTGAAGAAATATGGGCTCACCGATTACGAGCACCGGGCACGAGAGGTGAATTTTATATTGCTAGGTAAAAAATATGTTGCTTTCTAGGTTTCTACGGCCGATTTCCG